AAGTTAAAATTATCTTCAGGAAGTGTTCAGCAAATGCTCTGTTATTGAGTGCCTGCCGGGATACAACAGAGAATAGGAGAGATGTGGCCGTTGCTTCTCAGAAAGTGTATAGTCATTGTAAATGAACACAAGAGGACTAAATAAACGAACTTACTTTCTTTTTTCTTTGCTTTTGTTTTTGAGACTGAGTCTTGCTTTGTCACCAGGCTGGAGTGCACTGGTATGATCTCAGCTCACTGCAACCTCTGACTCCCTGGTTTAAGCAATTCTCCTGCTTACATCTCCCAAGTAGCTCGGATTACAGGCACGTGCCACCACGCTCAGCTAATCTTTTTGTATTTTTAGTAGAGATGGGGTTTCACCATGTTGGTCAGATTGGTCTCGAACTCCTAACCTCGGGTGATCTGCCTGCCTCGGCCCGCCTTGGCCTCCCAAAGTGCTGGGATTACAGAGCCACCATGTCTGGCCGAGCTTACTTTGCAATAAGAATTTACTTTGAAAAGTAACTTTTAAAGTATCACCTTCCTTAAAGAAACACTATAAATGCAGCATGCCAAGTGAAGACAGCTGTAGTTATTTCTCAGCCTCCCTTACAGGTAAGGGAGGCTAAGGAGAAGCAAGCAGAAGTCACTTGGTCTTCTGGGGGAGTTTTCAAGTGACATTCACTTAGGTGGCAGGTCCTCCTTTGTTCTTCCCATTCCCTGCTTCTTACTTCCTGTTACTGGCTATTACACCTGGTGCTGCAGTGACCCTGTTGTACCACAAGGCAGCCGTGAGGGAGGCAGAGCTGAAGGCTAACGGGAACCTGGGAAATTGATATCATGACATCACCAAACTGGCCTGGGTCTGTCTACCTGCAAACTTTTTTTTTTTGAAACAGGGTCTCATTCTGTCACCCAGGCTGGAGTGCAGTTGTGTGATCATGACTCACTGCTGCCTTGACCTCCCAGGCTCAAATGATCCTCCTACTACAACCGCTCAGGTAGCTGGGACTACAGGCACATGCCACCATGCCTGGATAATTTTTGTATTTTTTTTTTGTAGCGACAGAGTTTCACCATGTTTCCCAGGCTGGGATTGAACTTCTGGGCTCGAACTTCTGGGCTCAAGCAATCCTCCCACTTCCGCCTCCCGAAGTGTTGGGATTACAGACATGAGCAACCATGCCCAGCCTTCCCTTCCAAACTTTTAAGTGAGAGAAACTATACCTCTATCTTGTTCAACAGTGTTATTTCCAGGCTCTATTATTTGTGATCAATCATAACTCCTCTTTTATATAGATTTCAAAAATAGATAAAAAGATGTATCTCTCTGGAGAGGGAAAGTCATGTAAGGTAGAATTTAAAAACCCTATATGTTCCCCCAAACCATGTATTCTTATGAACTTAGAAATGTCCTAAGATATGAAAAAATTTACATAGGATATCTTCTTGAGAGCTTTCTGGACATCCTCAGCTCCAAATGATCAACATTTCTATTTTGGAATGACTAAACCTTGATTTTCATCTCTAAAATTTGTTTCAACTTCAAGATTGTAAGCCCCATGTTTCCTCTCTGTTTCTAGGGCATCCTGTTTTTCTACCTCTTCCATATCCTAGAGGCCGTTGCATCTGAGCCGGTCCTCATTAGGAGCTCTCCTCTCCCCAGCAGGTTTCTCTTGGTCTCTCTTGCTTTTGTCCCCAGCACTGATCTCATAATGATGCATTTTACAGATTCTGCCACCTCTCCAGCAGAATTGCTTCTCCCCTTGAACTCTAGGGTCCTAACCATGTATTTTGAAGTGCTTGAGCAGAATCATAGATCATTTTAAAGGAAAATAGTAGCCTTTCAACCTGGAGGGGAGGTGGCCCTTTGGATAAGAATGTCATTTGGCCTCTGACATTTTGGAAACACCGTTGTCATCATAATATCTTTCTCATCACAACCTTTCTCTCCATCATGGCCTTCCTCCCACCATCCTCATCAGCAGTGTCGTTACCACTGTCCTCATCTCTATACTTTAGAGAATACTGGGCGACAGGCACTATCTAGGTGCTTTTAATCATTAGCTCATTCACAATGACCTAATGAGGCAGGCTCTGTGATCAGCCCATTAACAGGTGAAGAGACTGGGATGTAGAGCAGTTAACATGCTCACACCACATGGCAGTCAGTGGGATGTGAACCCAGTCTGGCTCCAGCGCCCCCTCCTTACTTCTCAATCACACTACCTACAGCAGTGTTGCTATCCAAAGTGTAGGAATCCTTTCAACGGCAAAGAACATCAGCCTTTCAGGAACATGATAGAAAGTTTAACCACGAATTTAATTTATCAAACATTGGGCAAAGACTCCTTTGGGACATTTAATATCCAAATGAAAGTCTAGTGTACTTGTTATCACTTCTTTTCATCTGATTATTTATCTCTCTTTATGAATTTAGGTATCAGCTCTGCCATTTGGGAACCTCAAGCTCATTGTCTAATGTCCATTTGAAGAAAATGTTTGTGTTTCTGCCAGTATTCACAGGCGGATACATTTTCCTTATGATGCTCAGTGTCTCTTTTTTTCAAAATTTATTTTTTAAGACTGACAGATAACATTGTATGCTTTTATGATATTTTGAAATTAATATGATATTGTGGAATGTTGGCTAACCTTTAAAGTCCATGTTAAATTATTCCTTGGATTCAGTGACATCACAAACAACAGTCTCTCATTCACAGTGCTTAGTCCATAACTCAGCACACATTTCTCTTCTTCCTAAGTCACAGGAGCCAAATTCGGAGTGGCACTGAAGTAACTAATTAATCTCACACAGTTGGTAACACAGATTCATCTTCATATTTTGGGTTGGGGTTATCCTATTTTTGTTCTCATTGTTATGTTTATATTGAATATTACAAGGTGCTTTGTGTTTTTATTTTGAAATAGGTTGAAAAGAAATTCTAAAGATAAACAAAAATCCCCCAATGAACAGTCCATGAAACACCAGCTCAATAAGCCATAAGAGGTGGCCTAGAAAAAAAAGTCTCCAGGCCAAAGAAGAATGAGAAACCCATAGACCATACCTAACCTTGTTAGAGAAACACAAAGCATTTTAAAGTTAATCAGAAGTCCTGCAGTTAAATAAATCATTTAAAAGTAATCAATTCAGTGTTTCCCGCATCTATTTGACCCTGAAGTATATTTTTTTCATTCCTATCCCCACGCCGGTGGTGTAATTCGTGGGACTAATTTCTTGGAAGTGAATTAGACTTGTTTGGAACTAATTAGAACTGGTGTTCTTGAAATACCGGTTTGGAACCATGGCAAGACTGAGCAGTCTGTATTAGCAGCTAGAGGAACCCTGCCATGGGAAGTCAGAGAATGGAGCAGATCAAGTTCTGCAGACTTTGCTGCTTTCAGGTTGGAATCCTGAGTGCCCAAGACACCAGAGGGAGAAAGGGGGACATCTACCTCCTGAGTGAGCCATGCAGGGCTGCTGAGGTGAAGAGTCTGATATGGCTTGGTTCTGTGTCCCCACACAAATCTCATGTTGAATTGTAATTCCCAGTGTTATTGTTGGGGCTTGGTGGGAGGTGACTGGATCATGGGGGTGGTTTCTAATGATTTAGCACCACCCACCTCACACTGTCTCATGATGAAATTCTCATGGATCTGGCTGTTAAAAGTGTGTGGTACCTTCCCCTTTGCTCTCTCTCTCCTACTCCTCCATGTGAAGATGTGCTGGCTTCCTCTTTTGCCTTCTGCCATGATTGAATGTTTCCTGAGGCCTCCCCAGCCATGCTCCCTGTACAGCCTGCAGAATCATAAGCCAATTAAACCTCTTTTCTTTGTAAATTACCCAGTCTCAGGTAGTTCTTCACAGCAGTGTGAGAATGAACTAATACAGAAGCCACTGGGGAATTTGCAGGTTGAGAGGATCCACCTGTCTCAAGCCACCTCAGGTAGCCTTGAGATTCCTCCAGAGAGGGGTGGGGCAATTGCAGGTCCCTATATAGTTTTTTTTTCTCCGAACACCATGGAAGTTGGAAGCATTGATGGCAGATGAGGAAAGCACAGCACCACAGTTAGGAGTACAGTTTTGAATCATAGGAACTTGGTTCACTTCCTGTTTCTGCCACTTTTTCTGTCCATGACCTTGGAGCTTGTTCTCTACATTCTCTGAGCATCACAGTAAGCTCATTTGTAAAATGGCAAAGCCAGGCTCACACAGTCAAATGAGGCAACACATCTCAGGTGGAGACACCATGGTGGTTACAGGAACGACTCTGCAAAAGTCAGTGGCCATCGTACCTATTCCATATTCTTCACTTGGTCAGTAAGAAGGGCATCAAATCCATGCCCTGGCCCTGGCCCCTAAAAAAGCCATGATCTTACCACATTTCCATCAGATGCATAGTGCAAACAGCTTCCTGGTTTGGGTACAAATTTAGTAACTGAATGTGATCCTGTGCCCTTCCCCGAACATCGCTCCCTTGGAATAAATGGAAACAACAACCATGATCCATAATCATAAAAGCATGGGGACTGAGAATAAATAATGGCTCTCCTAGACCAGCTAACTGTTGTTATTTATAAGCTCCTGGGCCACATTGTTATTGACTAGGAAATCTGCTTTACCTCCTTGCTGCTGTTCCGTCTGGCCTCTCAATCTGCACTTGCTGGAAAAAAATAGTTATTGTTATGCTAAAATCACAATGGGACTCTCATAACTCACTGCTAAATAACACCAATAAAACTATGAAAATGGCACTTGGGCATTAAAAGTTATTTTCTTATGGACTTTAACAAGATTCAGTGCTTTTGTTCTCACTGTGCTCTGGTATTTTAGCCTCACACACATACACAAAATAAAAATGTGAGAAAGAATTCCAGCAAAACACCATCGTCTCTCCCACAAAGGACTATTTTGATTTTGAAAGCAGAGCCAGCGGGAGCTGTGGTACGTGAATTAACATCAGTCAGTAATCATAGCTGTGACCACAATGGTGGTTGGTGTTTGGCACAGGGGTTTACCTCTTTCTTGGTGAATTTTGGTGAGTGATCATTTTTGTCATCGATCATGATCGTGGCTGTGGCCGTGCCTGTTAATCCAACATCCAGTCCAGCCATATCTTGAGCCTCGATGATCAGTTCATACTTGGGATTTTCCAGAGTCTACAAAGCACAAGCACAAAGAAAGAATACGACATTTAGATTTGGGTTACTGTTTTGGAAAGGTGGCAAGCATGTTGTTGGAGCTGTCACTACCCCTCCTCCATCTAGGGTAGGCATCTTTAAGCAGTGATAACATTTTACCTATTGTGTATAAATGTGCCTTTGGAATCTCTCCAAAGACCATCACTATTCAAAGGTTGGAGTTTGCCATGGGGACAGAATATATTATATTTACGATTCTTTTTTAGGGAGATATTTGATATATCACAGAATGTTCCATTTCCTGGGTTTGGGTATACATTGTCCTTTTTTTTTTTTTTTTTTTTTTTCTGAGATGGAGTCTTGCTCTACAGTGCAATGGTGTGATCTGGGCTCACTGCCACCTCCGCCACCCAGGTTCAAGCGATTCTCCTGCCTCAGCCTCCTGAGTAGCTGGGATTACAGGCGTCTGCCACCATGCCCAGCTAATTTTTATATTTTTAGTAGGGACGGGGTATCACCATGTTGGTCAGGCTGGTCTTGAACTCCTGACCTCGTGATCCGCCCGCCTCAGCCTCCCAAAGTGCTGGGATTACAGGTGTGAGCCATCAAGCCTGGCCCCTATGTTGTCCTTTAATGTTCACATCCATATCTGTTATTTCAGAGACCTCAGGAAGCTGATCAGAAATGAGGCTACTTTTGATGATGAGCTTAGGACAAAGATGGCAGCTTTAGGAACTTGCATTTACTGAAAATCTGATGAGGCAAGCATTGCATTACCGCACTTTACAGAAATCCTTGTTAATCTTTTCAACAAGCAGCTCAACTTGCAATAATCGTTCCCATTTTACAGATGGGGAAAAAAAACCCCTGAGGTTTAAAGTCACTTGTATCACACTTCTTTCAGGTATTTTTTGTTGTACATGCTGTTAAATTTGGAAGATGCATTTAATCCAATAATGATTTGATACATTTAACACAAGCACTATTGCACTATTCTCTCTCTTTACATGTGTGTTTTTCATCTGAATATTTGACAAAGATTTGGCTATCATGTTTATATAGTCAAAACAACTAACCAAATAGCCCTGATCCTAAGACGAAGAAGAGTGTAGTCATGGTAAATAACAGCCCCTACATTTAAATTGTATTCGGTAGTAGGTTTCTGCTTGAATCGGTCCACAAGCATACCATTTGTCTGGTAATGCAGCACCCCACATTTCTTCTGGGGACCTATCCTTTACTTATTCTCTGCTCAGGCAGTTTGGGTTGGGATTACCTTTCTCTATCTCCTACCCATAGAACTTTCGGAATGAGTCCTAATTAGGAGAAGCTAGTCAGTGCATCTTATTCCAGTGATATAATGATAAGTCCATGCCCTGTGTTTGACAGTTAGGCGAAGGAAGTTCTGTTTCCCTGTGGTGTGGACCTGGAAGCATTTAGCAGGGGGAGCTAGAGGAGTCATCTTATGACCACAGGAGGAGTAAGGCAGGAGAAGCCCCTGCATCCAAGAACAAAGGTAATATCCTAAGAGAATTAATTATACTTGAATCTCAGAAAAGAAATGATTCTTAGTGGTTGTACTGGAGCCACTTCATCACGCCACTCCTGAAGCTAGCCCCGCCTGTGAACTTTTCAGCTAATGAAGGCAATAATTTTCCTTATTTGCTTAACCCACATTGGATAGATTTCTTAACCACTCACACAGAGAGCCCAAGTTGAACTACCTTCAGTAACAAAAATAATAGGTGTTTAGAACTCACATAAATAGTCCTACCAGTATGACGGCTTCAAAAACAGCTGGTTATACCCACCGATAATTAAGAAATATCACAGGAAGCAAAGAACAAAAACGCAATGGAGGATGTCTAATTTTCTTCTAAAGTCCTAAGTTTACATGGTAAATTTCAATAACTCAATGCTAGCTCTCTCATAAACTTTAAAGTATTTTGAAGTGCAGTTAGCTGTCTGCTCATGGGGACATTTTTCACTGGCTGTTCCTTTAACTTCTGAGTGGCTTCTGAGCTACTACTTTAAGGAGTATCGGTTCTGTTGGGTGGTTTGTTAAGACCCTCCACTTCAATTCACGGTGATGAGTGGGAAGTTAGTGTGCTCCTGTGACAGCTCTACGCCTCATGTTTTGGTTTCAATTCCAGCTCCCCCAGGATCGAAGGTCACAGAGTTCTCTGATTGCTGCGTGCAAGTGGAATTGACATGGTACCCAGTTCCAGTTCTGGCTGGGTCAGCTGGCACTGCTCCGTGAAGGTGCTTGAGATGCCATCTGCCCTGGTTCTGCCTGGTTCAAGAATTCTGGTAATTTTGCTCCTGGCTGGTTTCGTTGGCACCTCTCAGTATAGATGCTTGAAATCCCATCTATTCTCAAGCTGAAGCTGGAAAACTTGAGCCTAATGGAAGGGGCTTGCTGCTTGTCATCACTGGCAAGCTGGATTGGATGTACTATTGGCCATAATTTCTGCAGCTGGGCCATAGGAAACCAGTAAACTGGTCACCTTTAAAATCTTTCCCGAGTGTCTCTGAACAGGTTAACCACTAGCCTGAACAGCACAGGTCTAATTTCTTGTATAACACTTTTACTTTTGTCATAAAATATTGTACTTATTTTTGAAAGCACACAATTACTGACATAAAAATTATGTGAATTCTCCTCCAATATTGAAGAGATTGTGGCAAATACCATATTATTTTTCCCATATAATATCATTTACCAACATAATTCCTAGATGTTAATTAACAACATCTATATTGTTAACAATTGTTAACAATTGTTGTTATATTGATTATATTGTTAACAACAATATAATCAATATATCATATGTATATTTTATAATTTACTTGTCTTCTCTTATTAGGCCTCTTGGTTATTTGCAGTTTTCAAAATGTTGACAATTTTAAATAACATTGCAATTAACATCTTTATTCACAAAGGCTTATATATATTTTGGCTATTTTTTATTTTTTTGGTTTGCTTTTGACTGATAGATCCCAAGATGTAGAATTACTAGGATAAAGGTATGAATGTTTTCAGGCTTTTTACCCATATTTCAATATTTTTATTCAAGAGGATGTTACTAACTTTTATACCAGTCCTATGAGAAAGTTTAGCTTTTGATCTCAGACAGGGCTGGTCTCTAAAGGACAGCTCCCGATATTGCCCAGTGAAGCAAATTGGGAGACTGGGTGAATCTACGACCGTGGCATAACAAGGAAGTAAAGTCCTCATAGCATTCATTCTTCTCCAACCTGCAGATTGCTGTGGGGACATGCTACAGGACTGCCTCAAGGACTCACTATAGCAGGAGTACGCTGCTTGGCTGTCCTGATACCAACTCTCTCTTCTTCTGGTACCTATGCTCTAATTCCCTTGGGCATCACCCCTTCCTCACCCTCAGTACAGGTACAGTTCAGGTGGGTGAGGCTGACCCCACTCCTGATCAAGGGATGGTCACGTGGTTCAGGCCTGGCCAATCAGGGCTTTCCATTCCTATCATCGTGTGATGAAGACATAACCTAAGTGAGTCCACCCTGAGATTGAAATTCAATTCCAGGACATTGTTCTTGAGTTCTTTTAGAATGCTTAAGGAAAAGAAGTTCTCCTTCTGTTAAACCTGGAGGTGGTTAGGGCATCCATCTGGAGCTAGCAGTGGCCACCTGTAACCACACAAAGAAAGTCAACCTGAGAATGAAGGTAACACAGACTAAGAGGTAGAGATGGAGTTTGCTGTTGTTTTTTTTTTAACATCATATGAGCCCCCTAGTTGTCATCCTTGAAGCCAGAATTTACTCCTTAGATTTTGCGAATTCCATGAGCTAATACATTTTGGCTTTCCTCAAGACACTTGATTCAGATGATCTGTAGTAGGAATAAGGCAGTCTTGACTAATATTGCAACTATTGCAATGACACTATGATCAATTATCTGATTAGCAAGAAAGCATAGGAGCTATCACATCATACAATAGTATCAAAATAGGTTCTTCAAAACAGTACTCTTATCATTTTATGAATACATCATTTTCTCTTTTAACAGTTTCCCTCAAACAGAAACTTTTTTTGTATGCCCAGGGAAAGTTACTATAATTATTTATTAAAAAATATATTTATTTATTTTGAGACAGGGTCTCACTCTGTCAGTCAGGCTGGAGTGCAGTGATGTGATCATGGTTCACTGCAGCCTCGATTTTCCTGGCTCAAACAATCCATTCACTTCAGCCTCCTGAGTAGCTGGGACTATAATTACACACCACCATACCCAGCTAATTTTTGTATTTTTTGTAGAGACGGGGTCTCCCTATGTTGCCCAGGCTGGTCCTGAACTCCTCAGCTCAAGCAATTTGCCCACCTTGGCCCCCCAAAGTGCTGGGATTATAAGCATGAGCCACTGCGCCTGGTTTAATTCTTTCTTTAATTAGTGTATGCGTCTATTTAATTGGCAGTTAATGAACTTCTTGTGCAAATGTTGTGTTGGGTACTGGAGATACAGTGATGGAAAAACAAGTCTCCTTCTCCAAGGAGGTCAAAGTTTAGCACTGAGGACAGTCATATTCACATATTACTGCAATAAAATAAATCAAAGCTAAGCAGAGGTATGTACAAATTCTTATGGTAGCACAAGGGAAGGACACATTGGCATAACTCTCGTAGTTCAACAAATTTTATAAATAATTTTAGAAAATGAACCATTTTCCATTTCCTGAAGTAAATAAAACTTTGCACCTATAACGAAAAAATAGATTGATTAACCTAGTAGAGAATCAATTAGACTGTTATGTAGATAAATTGCAAAGTTTGCGATGAGGTTTCAAAAGTCTAAATTTTCTGGCAAACTTAAGGCTGACCTTCAAAATATTTTTATTACTGAAGTAATATCCAATTATTGTAAGCAACATAAAAATAACAGTCATTTCAAAGAACTCTCCTGCACCCTTGCCCAGCCCCACCTCTGAGAGGCAAATATTGATAGCTATCTCCTTTTTACTACACAAGTAGACACACACACAGGT